TATAAATTTTACAAAAATATAATCCTTATTTTCAAATATTATTAAAAAAAAAATTTATTTAAATACATTAATTTTTTAGAAAAATAGATCAGAAATATTTTTATAGTAAAATTCAGTACAAATTTGTACTGAATTCCAAACGGTTTAATTGATACGTTATATTAACTCTGGGAGATGATAATCAAGTAGCATGAGATGTAACTAGTTTTGTGCGTACTCACGTAATAGGTGCATTATAATTGTCCTTATATGCGAGACAGGGCACCCGAACGTTGATAGCAAAAATTATAGCTAGTGAAATTAGCAAATTTAGCAAAATAGCTATTATAAATTTATATTTATTAAGTATAGATTTTAATGTAATCATATTTTCTTCCGCGAGTTCTTCGTCTATCATTTTAGTGAATCATCTAAAATAAAAAATATGCATATAATTACTCATTTATGTAAATCAGTTCAAGAACAAAGGTAATAATCACATGTTTGACGCAAAAGTATCAAATTTCGCATCTTAGCACACTGCTAGCTATTTTGCCAAAAAATAGCACTATTTTAGATGCTACAAAAATCTGAGAACTCTGATGCGAGAAAGGAGCAGGTAGGAGTCGTGACTAGCTGCCCTCATTATTACATCATTTAAATAGTTTATTGTTGATATGATCAAAGGGAGTTTTGCCCACATTCTCCTAATGCTTTCGCCACAAGTTTACTAGAATTTCACTTCTATGGGTATCTTTCATTAATAACACTTTATAATATCGAATTTATTGTCAATTTCGGCTGAAAAGCCTCATAAGTTATAAACGAGTATTTTTTTAATAACGAGATTTATGATACAGTTACTAATTATTTTCGTAAATGTCACCTTTAGATCATGACAGTAACAATATCGAACACTTCATTTCAATTTGGCAATTTTTTTTAAAACTTGAAAACACAAGAATTTGATTATTAAAGTTGTAAGCAAACATAAAGCTTTAATGAATTCATGAATAGTAGTAAGTTGGTTTAAGACCAGTCTAACTTTTAACAATTAAACATTCCTAGCAGAGAGAGATAATCAGAAAAAGGATTATTAAATGTCTGATGGAAAAATAAGATATTAATAGTAAGGTCTTTGTGGGATCTCTGCGAAGAATGATGGGATTTATTAAATAAATTACAAAAAATTTACAACGGATATCTTTTTTTAAAACAAAAAATTAAGATAAAATATAATTAATAACAAAAAAATCAATAGAAATAATGCTACCATCCATTTTAAACTAACTTGATCATTAAATTTTTTTTTTTTTTTTAAATAATTTACAATCCAAGTTGATGACTAATTGACAACCAAACATGCAGCACCTTCCAAACTCTTTGTCGCAGTGAGAACAACTTTTTCTTCAGAATTTTTTGAATCGTAATTAATATTCTTAGTTCTTAATACTACAATGAGGGCAAAAGGAATTGGGATTGCTAATAAAACCCAACAAATAATAACTTGGGGCAATATAGAAAGTTTCAACAGCATCAATTCTCCAAGATATAGCACCACCTGCGGATTGAACAGCTTTATAATAACTGTAATTGAAAAATAATGATAAAAGATTGACAATTTCTATATAACCCAGTGTATCTTGCTAGCACATTAGCATCGTTGATAAGAGCGCCCATGATCCAATACGCGTAGCACTGATAAAATAAAAATGAATGAATGAATTAGTACATATATTCATAAATACTGTATATATTTGAATATTTATAAATTTTTATATATTCTAGTATTCGAATATATTTCGAATATATTCCCTATAAAAATTTTTATCCGGTTATTTCCATTATTTCTCCCTGGCCTCCGTAAAAATTACATGAAAATGATACATTTACGGGATATCCATGTTATGGAGATAAAAATTTCCATGATTTAAGGTTATAAATTCCATGAAAATGAAACATTCATGGAAATAACATGGAATAATAAACACGGATCAGCATTTTTTATAGGGATTTATGAATTTAGCATATCTAAATAAAAGTAACCATAGTAAATGAATGAAAAAAAATGAAAGGGACAAATGTTACCTGAAATATAGCATCAAATAGACCGTAAACAATATAGAAAATATCTTTGTAACATAACCAGAATCGTATAGATCCATATGAGCAAGATCATCTTCACGCTTATAAGATAATTGGAAAAGGAGATCACCAATCCAAGTACCCATTAATATAACTGTTAGAATGGTGATTCCTATAATTCCACGAGTTCTTCTGCCGAATATTGATCAGTCAAGAAGTTTTCCAAAGAATATAGCACCAAAAATTTGAGCAGTCCAATTCCATAAAGAGTTAAATGCTCTTGTTCGAATGTCAAAATAAGTTAATAATGAGTCAAGTATTTGATAATAATGAGTCGAGTATTTGATAATAACAAGTCGAATATTTGATAATAATAAGTCGAATATTTGTTAGTAAATAATATTTTTTTTTTATGAATGTATAAATTGTACCTGTATGCGTAAAACCAATTACTGGCAATAAACATAGGAAAAAGTGCAATCATTCTCCAATCTATGAATACTTTTGTCATACCAATAAGTTCTTCCATTTAGGAAATTCTTGGATAGTAACATGTTGACCATCTATCACGAATAACCTTATTAGGTGGAAGTAAAGTCATAGCTAACAAAGAACCAAATGCCATAAGAACCATGAAGCCAATATAAGTTCCATCATTAACAGATCCTGTCGTTGAATTCCAAATAAGAGCAAGTGGAACGATAGAGCCAAGAACTCCACCTATATCAAAGGATAATTGAAAAAAACAACAATCAACAAAATAATTTTTTATACAACGTTTGTAAAAGACATGATAATCAATATATGTACCAAGATTAAGAATCACCCAAAATATTCCAATGTACACTAATGATGCTAATGATGTTTATAAAGCAGTAAAGACATTAGTAGGCACCCTTTACAAAGACACTACTTTAACTAATTTAATTCTTTCTAATAATGAACTTACTTTTAAATAAGGGCAAGTATTAGCAAAAGTTCTTTGCAAAAATGCTACTTTAATTTTTTGGATCTTGGTACTAACTGACTTGGTTATGTAGGAGTAAAAGTATTAATAAAAACTCTCTGTAAAAACACTACTTTAACTAATTTAAATATAAATAGAAATAGGCTTAGCTTTAAAGAACACAAAATT